GAAAATTTTTTCTTTTTCTCGCCCTCTTTTTTCCCCGCTCTCATCAGAAATACGAAAAAAAAATATATATAAAAATAAAAGAACCCCCGCGCAAAAAGGAAGAGCATGCACACAAACACCCCCCCACCCACCCACCCCCCCAAAAAAAAAAAAAAAATGGCACCTCACTTTCCTCTTCACTTCTCCCTCTCCCTCTCTATGCACAAATATAAATACAAGTATATATATTTATATAAACCCCCAAACAGGCAATTCTACCAACAGCAAAAAGTGTGCAACATTCAACGCGGTGTTTTTCCACCTTTTTTTTTCTTTTTTTTTTCTTTCAAGGTATTTAAATTGCATGTTGGTCATCCCTCCACCTGACGTGTTACATCAATCACACCCCCCCCCCCCCTCAGTCTCTATCAACAAGAAAACAACAACACACACACACAAATATATATATATAAAGGAGGATACATTGCATACATACACACAAACACATACAGATAGACTAAAGTTCAAATTGATCATTGCAGATATTTCCTTTTTGGGGTTTCTTTTGTAAAAAAAAAAATTTTTTTTTTTTAAATTCCTCTATCTTTCCCTATAACTCACTGCCCATTCTCCTTTTACAATTCATTTTTTTTCTTTTTTTTTTTTTTTTCTTTCCCTTCTCGTCCGCTCTACCTCTCTCTCTATCTATCAACATATATACATACAAAGATATATATATATATATATGTATATAATATCCACTAAAATTATTATTATTTTACACATCCCGCGTTGTGTTTAATCAAAACCCTTTGGTGTACTTTTCGGTACATGTATATATATATATATTAGGGTGGCAAATGAAGAACCATGGCATATATACACAGTGAAATACATATTTTGAGAAAACAACAACCAAAAACCAAAAACAGCAACAAAAAAAAAGAAAAAGGGAAAAAGAATTACAACTAAACCCTAAGTTTTCTTTCAACTGCAAAGAACCTATTTGTCTATTTCATTACCCAGGTACAATTAAAACTTTTTCAATCTCTCTCTCTTTCTCTCTCTGTCTCTGTCTCTTTCTCTATGTACCTGTAGTTTCATGGTCTTCTCTTTCATGTATACATGTGTATTTTACTTTTCTCTCCCCCCTTTGCCGCCATGCATTTCTCAAGCTTGTCTCTATAAGGGTAAGAACCGAGCCCCTGACGCAAGGGGTGAAAAGGCGCAACATAACATCCACTGAAACGCCTCACTCTTCCCCATGAGTGAGACACCGTCCTCCAAAACATGCACCGCTCCAGCGAGTGGTTCCTTTGTCAGTATCGACTTCAACTGGATCCCATCTTCTATATCATAGGAGGGTATCGATGCCCCAAGTGTTGGGCAGCCCACCTCAACAGAGTGAGGAGAGTAAGACCCAAGTGACTGCTGCGCTTTTGAGAGAAGCACCATGAGGTGATTGTCACCCTCTGCAAGTTCACGAGCTTTCGTAAAGGTGGGGTTAAGAAAATTAGGAAAACGGTACACCTTGACGCACATCAAAGCCGCAAGAAGAAACACCTGGGCAAGAAACCTTCGCACAGCTGCGGAGTGTGTGCCATTGCCAGTAATCGTCGTTGAGAATCCTGTTGGCGTCGTAGAATTCGCGCCTTTGGAAGCTGATTGAATCGGCAGACTCACGTAACACGTGGCGGAAAAGGCCTGGTTCAAGTAAAAGACGGCATTGGGACTGTCGATGTCTTGTAACGCCGCCTGAAGAACGCTATCTATAAAATTGCTCATCGTGTGCAGAAGTTCCTCACTCGTCACGGTTCCCACGGGCGTCTTTGGTGACAGAGCCATGGCAGCTAGCTGATTGATGGACCCAAGTCCATCTGTGGCGTGTTTCCGC